AACCTTCCTACATATTTTTAATAAGAATTTAATAGTACAAAATTTTTATTAATTTTTAAAAATATTTAAATATTAAAAATTAGCATAGAAGGTATTGTAGTCCAAAAAATAGGTTATTACAGTTATATCTTTCCTTGTGAGTTCTTCTGTTTAATATTTAGGGCTATTTTGATATATTAATATTGTATTTATGCTTTTACAATAATATAGGCTCTCATTTTTCTAAATGTATTTGAACAATATAATACAATCAAATTAAATTAGTAATAGGATATTATAATACGTTTTGAAATTAAATTGGTAATAGAAATTTTAAGAAGTATATCTGAACGTGTAGTATTATGTCCTAAAACTAATAGGATTATAAGGCTAATATCTAAAATTTCTATTGTCCTTTTATTATGAATTATTATGCTTAATATTCTATGATTATTTTTGTAAACCAACATTGTATTCATGCTTTTATAATAATATAGATAGATATATAGATTACTTTTTGTGGGCAAGTATATTCACTTTTTTGACGGGATGGTGTTGCTTCTCTCTCTCTTTTTTTTTTTAAAGACCTATGCTCGTTATGGACAATTGGACATCCTAAGTACGAGACATGTAATCAAATGTTAATACGAAAAAAGAAATTAATTTGTTAGTAACTAATACTCAAATAAAAAAAAGAAACGGAAGAAAAAAAAAGTTAAGTGTGACCTGATGTGGGAAGAACTCGTTAATGAATTTAAATTCCTTTTAGACAGCCCGAAAGTAATTATACTAATAGGATTCTTAAAGGTAATCATGTAGGATTCCTAACGTGTAGTATTATGTCCTAAAACTAATAGAATTATAAGGCTAATAAAATTCCGGTTATGTCCTTTTATTATGAGTTATTATGCTTAATATTATAAGGTTATTTTTGTAAACCGACATTGTATTCATGCTTTTATAATAATATAGATAGATAGATATAGATAGATAGATAGATAGATAGATATAGATATAGATAATCAATTCCTTGTTCCTTTTATCATATTTTTTTTACAGAACTAATAAAATGCTAGTTTTTGACCCAAAAAAGGTTATTTGCTAGGAATATAATAGAATGCATACAATTTTAATTTCAGAAGCATAACATATGTCTATAATATTAAGTAACATTCTAATTTTTTCAGAATTAAATATTTCCTTGGCTAGTCAAAATCAAGTATTGTAAAATTATTTAAAAGAAAGATAAAAAGAAGTTAGGAACTGAACTAGAGTGGCAGTTTAGGGGGCGTCTGGTTACTACAATTAGGAACATAACGCCAATATAAAATTTTGTATTATGTATATTACATTTTGTTGACATTGCATTTTTGATATAAATAGCATGGGCTAGCCAGTTTTTAGACTGGTAATTGAAAAATAGCCAGTGTTTGCAAAGTTATTGTAAAATAGCCACTATTTTGCTGTAACACGGAAAGTTCCAACATAATATACTGGATATTGATGCACACGTGTATGAACTTCCAGCATATTATACTGGAACTCCAGCATATTATACTGGAACTCCAGCGCACAAAAAGTTTCAACATAATATACTGGAGAGTGGAGCACTTGTGTATGTACTTCCAGCATATTATGCTAGAAATCCAGTATATTATGCTAAGTCCAGTATATTATGCTGGAAGTTCACATGTAAAAAATTCGAAACTCCAGTATATTATGATGGAATATGTTTTTGGATTTTGAACAGCGTTTTTGTTCAAATTTATCTTTACATAAAACGTGGCTAAATTTCGATTACTTTTGAAATTATGACTATTTTTTAATTACCATTTATAAATCAGGCTATTTTTGAATATATCCCAATTTTAGTATTATTCTATACCGAATTCAGTATGGATAACTTATACAAAGATTCTTCACGAGGGTAACATACAGTAAACCAAAATTACCTTGATCAAATCTCTTTCTTTTTTATTTACTTTAGAAAACATGACTAACATCGTAAATTTTTATATTTTATATTAGGGAAAATACATAAGTACTCCCGAGCTATAGTCATATTTTTAACTACACATCTTTCCTTTACGGGGGTCCTATTATCTTCCTAAATTATTTTAGAGTAGAATTATTTTCACCCTAAAGACTTATGTGACAGTGTGTGTGTATTTCACTCTCACAAAGAGAGTGAGAAATGAGAAGCAGATTTTTTTAATTAAATATATACTTTCTTACCTTTTCTTTTCTTTTTCTATAATATTCTTTTCTTCTCTTCTTTACATGAGGTTCTTTCGAACATACACCGACGACGTCTGAACAAAAAATTCTGTCACTGGAAAATATTTTTACGCCGAAAGAAATGGAGTCCTTGAAATTTTGACGACCACCTATATTCTTTCTTTCTTTCTTTCTTTCTTTCTCTTCCTCCCACACATAAATCACACTTTCAAGAAAAAATTATACATATAAAGCAAAACACCATCAGATTTGGACAAAAAAGTCTATCATCGGAAATTTTTTTCGCATGAAAAAATGGAGTCCTTGAAATTCCGACGATCACCATTTTTTCAGTTTATATTCTTTCGTCCTTCCTTTCTTTCTTTTTATCTCTCTCCCACACATAAATCACACTTTCAAGAAAAATTTATACATATATAAAGCAAACACACTCAGATCTGGACAAAAAAATGTGTCACCGGAAAGTTTTTTCGGGCCGAAAAAAATGGAGTGCTTGAAATTTCGACGATCACCATTTTTACACCGTCCATAATCACTACTGATATTCAACATCTAAAAGTCTTCCACCACAGTAGTCATTTAAAGGTCTCAAGCCAAGAATAGCAGCAAAATAGACTTTTACCAAGTTAGAGCTTTTAGGAATTATTTCATGTATACCAATCGTTTAATCCATGAAAGAAGAAAGAAAACAATATTAATTATATATGAATCAATTTATCTAAAAAGAGAAAAGGAGAAAGGAAAAGAAAAGAAAGAAAAAAAAATCAATTTTAATGAAATATACATGTGTCAAGCGAGTGTAGTTCACTGCCCAACACTAGTTTGGTTGTCCTAATTCAAGGATAAATTTATTCTACTCTAAAATAGTTAAGAGGGTAATAGAATTTCCGTAAAGAAAAGGTGTGTAGTTGGAAATATGATCATAGTTCATGGGGGTACTTATGTATTTTTCCTTTATGTTATATGTATATCTAAATTTTAGTGAAATGAGCCCGACACTCGCATATTGAAGTATATAAGAAGAAATAATTATTAATCTTTGTATTACAATCTTTACTCTTGTGCATAACAATTTTTTGCTAATTGAAGGGGAGCCTTGGCGTAACCAGTAAAGTTGTCTTCATGTGACCAGGAGGTCACGGGTTTGAGCCGTGAAAACAACGTCTTGCAAAATGCAAGGTAAGACTACCTACAATAGGTCCTTGTGATCCGACCCTTTCTAGTACCCCGCACATAATGGTAACTTAGTGAATCAAGCTGCTTCC